AAGAAACATGGTTCTGGTATATGGTAATTTTATGTAAGAAACATGGTTCTGGTATATGGTGATTCTATTTAACATCGAGTTTACCTTCTTTTTTTATACAATAACAAAATGTGTGATTGCCTTAGGCACGTCTTGCCAGTTTCCGGCTCACTGGACGAGCAGCTGGTTCCAGAAGGGTTTCCGGGACCCCATCACGATCCAGAATGGCACGATCTCCAGTAGAGGGGTGTGTAGAGAAGTAGACGGTGAGAAGTTTCTTATTGAGAGCGAGTAAGTAACACAGATTCTCTAATATTAAATAGGACTTGAAGGAAATCCTCCTTTCTTTAAACAAAAACGGAACCGATCGGATGACGCCATATTGATGTCGTCTTCTAGCCTATCCAATCTCACAAGTTCTCCATTTTTGAAAACGTCGCGTTTATCTAGATCTAGCTCACGCCATTTAGGGATACAATGGAATTTCTATAGTAGTTTACTTACCAGTGTCTTAATTTGTTCATTGTAGTCGGGGTGTGTGTGTGTGAACTCCTAACACGAGGGGAATATATTTGGTTCTAAACAAACCAACCTCTGTTCAAGTACTCCGGAAAAAGCTCACCCTGAAATCATTACCAGCTACATGTTATTTTTCTTCTTGCGAAGTTTATCTGGATCTCAGTAGCTGAGACCTTTAGAACGTCAGTAGTAATAGACAAGAAAACTTTAACTTCATTTGGAACAGCAGAGGTATAACAAGATAGTTTTGACTTTTTGGACGAATACCCCAAAGGAACGTAAAAAAAAAACCGTGATTCTGGAGTTTAACAAGGACTAGAGGGTGTTCCAGTCTTTCCAGATTCGAGGAAGACGTTATCAAGTTCGTTATTGTTGAACATAAACCATCAAATATCTGAAAATAAATTTTGTTAAATTCATACGGGAAAATATAATGTACATTTGGTATAGAAACGTTATTAAAAAACCACAGAAGATCCGATATTTACTGAGATTTAATATATTCGTAATAACAACGAAAAACAATACAATGTGTATTTGCTTTAGCGGCCACAATAATTAAAACCAGTTATTTAGAGGGAACATTTCGAAAGTGTAAGCCTGACAGACGTGTTTACGTTTCGTTCTTTACAAAACAATTGAATTAAAGTTTGTTTGTACGTCCCAGAATTTCGCTCAAAGCTACGCGGTGACTTTGCACATAGCCGTCACTAACTTGGAAACGATTGGCTAGAGGGAAGGCAGATTATTAACAGTACCCACCGCCAAATTTTTTCGGAAATATTCCTTGATCAAAAGTAGGACGTAACGGTTTGTTTTGTAGCGCAGTGTGTATTTGTGGTCGAAGTACGGAGCGTGTATCTGTGGAAATAAGTTACATACCATAAGTCGTTGGGTTCACAGCACGGGCACACTAACTACTAGACCACGCCCAGCCCTTTCGTTAAACATTTCAGAATGATAAACAATAGGTAAATATAATCCTGTATACATATGTTTAACTTCTGGCGTATCAGACAGAATCAAGGTAAGATAAGCTATTATAAATAGTTCCTCAGGTTTTCTTACAGAAAGATTTAGGTGTTTCTGTTAATCACGTGGAAGTCATTAAAATACTAATTAACTTTGTCGGTTGTGCTTATAATAGTCATTGTTGTAGGCTAGTTAACTTTGTCGGTTGTGCTTATAATAATCATTGTTGTAGGTTAATTAACTTTGTCGGTTGTGCTTATAATAGTCATTGTTGCAGGGTAATTAACTTTGTCGGTTGTGCTTATAATAGTCATTGTTGTAGGCTAGTTAACTTTGACAGTTGTGCTTTTAATAATCATTGTTGTAGGCTAGTTAATTTTGACAGTTGTGCTTATAATAGTAATTCTTGTAGGCTAGTTAATTTTGACAATTGTGCTTATAATAGTAATTCTTGTAGGCTAGTTAATTTTGACAATTGTGCTTATAATAGTAATTCTTGTAGGCTAGTTAATTTTGACAATTGTGCTTATAATAGTAATTCTTGTAGGCTAGTTAATTTTGACAGATGTGCTTATAATAGTAATTCTTGTAGGCTAGTTAATTTTGACAGATGTGCTTATAATAGTAATTCTTGTAGGCTAGTTAATTTTGACAGATGTGCTTATAATAGTAATTCTTGTAGGCTAGTTAATTTTGACAGATGTGCTTATAATAGTAATTCTTGTAGGCTAGTTAATTTTGACAATTGTGCTTATAATAGTAATTCTTGTAGGCTAGTTAATTTTGACAATTGTGCTTATAATAGTAATTCTTGTAGGCTAGTTCATTTTGACAGATGTGCTTATAATAGTAATTCTTGTAGGCTAGTTAATTTTGACAGTTGTGCTTATAACACTTTGTTATTATACAGAAGTTTTAGAAAGTTTTACATCGGGCTGCAATGGTCAGATATATACTTACTTTATAGTACTTAAAGTCAATGGTCTACTCGGTAATATACTAGATATTTCAGTTTCTATTTTTCCAACGAACATCGCTCTCTTTCAGGTCCGAGTCCTGCTTCCGATGTGTTGTCATTCATGAAAGACACCGAAACGTGCTTCAGTACAAAGAAAGTAAGTAAACGAAGATTTGTGTTTCTTAAATTTAATACAAAATTGTTATAATTTGATTTAAAAAAAAGGGTATGGTTTCGTGTATAACCACGGTTTCATTCTTTTAGTGTGTTTTTTTCTAGCATACTGCTCTTCAACTAACAATCTAGAGGTAAAAGTGTCGGGAGATAAGTGGAGATGCCCCTCTTTATTCCATGTTTAGGCGTAAGTCGAGTACACTGTTCTTTATTTCGGTTTTTTCTCTTTTTTTATCAGATTAACAGGGATACATTGTTCAGATAATTTTATTAAGCGTAAACTAAGGAACATCTAATTGATTTTCCACGCTCTTAAATCATTAAAAGTGTATTCATCGTGCTGTTAGTACCTATTCATTAATTCCTGATTCTTACGCTTGGTGGCGTTCGCCTTACATTTATATCTCATCCCTGTAACATTTAGTGGCGTCATCTAGATTGTTTATTATTATTCTGTTGATATTTACAGTTATCCTGTTTGTTTCTGACCATATTTTTAATATATTCGTAATTAGGTTTTTTTTCTAAATTCGCAATTATTTTCGTACTTTTAATAAATGTATGTAATTAAATTTAAATTAAACCATTTCCAGGTAGCGTTCACTTTAAATCTCTCCACGGATTTAATCAAAATAATCTATTTAACTAATTTTTTTTATTATTTTAGTGGACACAACCCCCATACCTTGCCCTTTTAAGGATTCTTTTACCTTCAGCTACAGCCGGGGTCACGGTGAATGTCGTAATCCAGTTTCTACAGTCGACTCTTGCACTGACGAATCACATCTCTTCTTTAAATTCCAGGCATGCGCAGATGTGCGCAACTCAGAAAGCAGAGGTTAGTTTTTCACCGTATTAATTTTGGCATTTCCGTAGATCAGCGGTAACTTTACGGATTTGCAAAGTTAAAATCCGGGGTTTTTCATTATATATATGATACGTTACGTGTTCAATACCTACTTTACTCGACTTTCTTGTGTGTGAGTTAATTATAAAAATAACATACATTTTATGGAAGTAAATGTAACTCTTCAGTGATTTACGTGTTTCGTTAAAAGTTTGGTGAGGCTCAGATAGTGCTGCCAGCATACCTATTAGAAACAGTTTTTATTTAAAGAAAAATCTAAATGCTTTCGAAAATATGTTATGATATTCAAAATATTGTAATAACGTTTTGTTTCTTATGATTCATAAGAGTGCTTGTATTTTTCGTATACACTGACCTCGTGTTTTAATATCTCGTGTCTGTATAGAAGAGAAATTGACGTGTTTTGGGTTATGGAAAGAAGGCTCCACGCGATATCTGATCGCCAAGATGGAACACAAAGATACAATCACGGACGAAGACAAGTTTCGCTGTTTTGTAAGTCCCTATATTATGTTCCATTAGATCTGTGTTTTGAAAGAAGTTAAACTAAAACACGATTCTCAAAACATTGCACGTGTACTCGTGTTAAGCCTAATCGGTGGAAACTGGACGTTCAACATGGCGACTATGCATTGTAACTAAAGAGCTGCAACAGACATATAAAAACTAGTTCTGGAAATACACGTACATCAAATTACCACGTGACCTTTCAAAACCAAATAATTAATCTATTCGTTCTCACTATATTAATTTATATATTAATACTAGGGGGGTAACTGGATATGGGGCTTGACTTCTGCCCCCCCCCTACAGCTTTTTAAATATTTTTCAAATAAAAAAATTGTGAGTAAAAATTAATACTTGATACAAATTTTTTATTCGAATAACTTTTACACGTAATTTTTAAGAATTAAAGGTTTATCCGAGTTTATAATTATCTAAGGGACATCTGGTGTTAAGTACAGAAGACACGTTTTGTATAATTTCATAGTTACTACTTGAGATACCTATTTTGGACTCAAAATACTA